CAAATAATATGGCTTTCATATATTCTATAGATATGAGGGACATCAACATATCAATAATCTAAAAATTTTAGATTTGTATTGACGTTTATATGATGCATGTTACATACTAATGTTGCAGTTAGCATTTGAAAAATCCATAAAGGCATAGTTGCTGCACGGGTAACCAGAAGGGGAAGGGGTTTATCAAAATTTTTGAGGGGGGCACATTTTGATTGAGTTTTGAATTTTGAGTACTCTCCTTTATAATCTTGTGAAACATATTAACTTTTTTCAACAACTCACATTTATAATAGGAAAACTCTTTGAAGGCCACTAATACATTACATTCCACCATTATATTTATAACATACCAAAGCAGATATTACCATTTTAAATTACGGTAATGTTAGTAAAAAAATGATATTAACATAAAGAAGGAAATTTCTTTTCACTGTATTCATTTTGTGATTAAATCATATTAATTTGTAATATATATATATTAATTATAAGGAAATTTTTTAAAAAATTAAAAACTGCGTTTTAAGCCACAAAATATGCCATTTTCGAGATAATGCAAAACATAGTGTTCGCTGGCACACAACCGCAAGTTAATTCACGTTAATTGCCATGGAATAAATGTCGACTTGAGGTATCTATGATCGAGAGATGAGTTTATATTATTTATCAAAGATGTTTTTTGGTCGGTACGCCATATCTTTGATAATTCTTCATCAAATCCCCAGCATTGAGTTGTCATTTTGATATTTTTCGAGAAAATTATAAAATCGATAATATAAAGTGGCACTTCCGGTCAGCCGATTTTGACGAAAAAGTTGCTGTAACATTTCAAAAGCATGTACAAACCTTAAATATGAAATTTCAATTGCGTACGACTTATCGTTTTTGAGCTATACTGTTTACATTCATACACACACACCATTTTGCAGCACTTGGTTATTTGGGCTCAGGGGGTATCAAAACATGTATTTTCGTTGAAAACTCAAGTTCGGATACAGGTTTTAATTGTGGAGGGAGGCTCTCCAGAAAGATTTTTTGTATGCATATATTAGGAAAATTACTTCGGAATAAAGAAAGAAACTAACTACCTATATAAATTGGTGTTTAAGTGATTTTTGAAGTCCTATTAAATGTAATTAGATGAACAATAATATTTATGGAGATAATTTTTTTCATAAAATATGGTTATATTTTACCATTTTTTGGGGAAGAGGGGAAGCTTCAGCTGGAAAACCCGCTTCCATAGATCTGCCTGTGCTTTACAGAGAAAGTTATCACAAATAGATACTGAGGACAGGTAGGAATTGTAGGATAGGGATCAAAATGTTGCTAATATTTTAATTGATTGGAATAACAGTTATATGACTTCCGATCATCAGGATGCCTCTTTCTTTATCAGAGGATCCTAGGGTATCATTGGGTATGGGTGTATGGGTAAGGTCCAATAGGTCTTGGGGTAAGGAATTTATTTTGCTGTGTTTTGGGGAATGGTCAGGTGAGGATGCAAACTAAACTACTTTTTGGTTCAAGGTAGTACAGGAGTGCATAGCATCATCTAGGCCTTCAAGTGTTTTGGGGAAACTCTTAGATCTATATGTTCTATAAGGCAATATTCAGTTTCTCCACTCAATGCCGACATGTTTGTGGCTCAAATGCTCTCAGTCTTAACTGGCTTTCAGTCCAGTAACATGGCTGTAAGAGAAGCACTGGAACCTCCTGGAGCCTAGCTTTGCTTTCAACACGTGGAAGACAAAGCCTGGCTCGGTGTATCCTGGACAAATGTAAACATTATATATAGGTGTGAATAAGTTTTAGAAATTTTATTTGATTATTTTTTTTTTTCAGTTTTATATTTTCCTTTAACTTACTTTCATTAATCTACAGATTTTGTAACCATTAATTATTTATATATATCCTTTAATTTGTGAAATCATGTATATATACATATTGTATGAGTAGATACTTTTAGCTCTAATGCTTATTGGTCTTGAATGTGGCAGATTGTATTATTAATATTCAATAAATAATAATTTAAAAAAATTATTTGAAATACTGTGCAGGTCTGTGGCTAACCAACATTTTTAGCTGAAATGAAATTACTGAAGCTGCTGACTCTCCTTTAAGATTGAGTGAATTTTATTATTTAAAAGATCTCTAAACTTCACTTACACATGTATCACTTCTATTTTTACCCATTTTGTCTGTCACAATGTTTTAACTACATTTCAAAATATTATACTGTGAAACTTCTCCTTGCGGACACTGCCCTAACCACCCATGTATAGGACTTTTCTCTTTTATAATCCTCATCAGATTTAAATAATTTTACAGTGTAAATGATTCTGCATAACCGATGTTCTCTATACTGGATGCCGACAGGCTTGATAGAAGGATTTTGGTTTACAAGTTACTCCATGACAGCCAGTGGTATATTCTAAGAATTTTAATTATATTTATTGCTGCTTAGTTCAATTACATAATTACATATTGATCTAAGCAGCTATGTATCTACGACCAGTATACATATACTGGGAATCGGTTTTGAAATAGGGATTACAGTCTTAACCTTTTGTTGTCCATTCAAAAGATTTGATGGTTAAATATCTACTCACTTCTGGTTATATTTTAAAGAGAAAAATTCACGTTATTAATGAGTCTATATAAATAACTTAGTATTCACAATTCAACCACTCGATTGCAAAAACTAAAAATTGGTGAGTAACATTTTAAAGAGCAAAAAGAATAGTGTAAACACTGGATCCAACTAAGACTCTAGGCCTACCATAAAGGAGATTCTAGTGCCAATTCGGACTTTCTAATGGAAAACAATCACGCTGTTAGAAATTTAGCTCATTAACAAAACTATTTAGTTAGAAAAATTGATACTAAAAACAATAGACTTGATAAAATAATTCACGAAAGACAAAGAAGGGTTGCTAACAGATTTTAAAACATAGATAAAAAAAATCAAAATGTCATTAAAAATAAATAAATTCCGACATAGCAAAAACAACTCATTGGAATTATTAAGGTTACTAAAGACACATTAAATATTTTAGAAAACTAAAGGCAGAGGAAAAGCCATTGTTGTTTTGCAAGAAACCCACCTCAACAATAAAGAGTGAAACTACAAAAAATACAAAATAATAAGAAAAGACAGACAGACAGAAAGAACTAGGGCAAGAGTGGCTACATTTGTCTTAGAAAACACCTATTGATAGAGCTGTTCAAGACACAATAGAGTTCAAGTTGCTCAGAGAAACAACCAGCAGAATCATCAAAGAAAGCACCATGAAAATAGTATGTTTCATCCATAAACTGGAAGTTTCCGTCAAATGAGATATGAAGCAAGATCATAGCCATCAGAGTTATTAGAAAGCAATATTTTATTTCCAGACCTGACATTAACTAGCATTTGAAGAAACCAATGGGTCATGCCAGACAGAAGAAATTAAGGATAAATCAGCTCCTGTTACAGGCGGATTTAGGCTTTCGGGCTGAAGCTCCCCCCAAAACGGTGAAATGTAACCATGTTTTATGGTAAAAAATATAAAAAAATTATGTCTTAAAGTATGATTGCTCATTTAATTACATTTAATAGGGCTTCAACAATCACTTAAACAGTATTTCATATAGGTAGTTAGTATCTTTCTATTTTTCCAATGTAATTTTCATTATATATATGAAAAAAAAAAGCTTCCGGGCTGAAGCCCCCCCTCCCAAAAACTAAATCCTGGATCCGCTAGTGGTCTGGATGGAATTCCACAAGAGTTCATAAAAAAAATTACCAGCTGAAGGGAAAACATACCAATACCTCTAATAAAATCTGGATTAGAGGAAAATTTCCTTCTGACTGGAGAAAATCAATCATTGTACCGGTTCCAAAAAATGGCAAAAGGGAGGGGGAATGGTTAGGGACAGTTAAGGTTGACTTTAGAGCAAACCGTTCATCCATCGACTCCCTGTTGTCATTAAGCTTGGAAGCACAGGAGGATTCCTCAAACAAGTAACATCTAATAGCAATATTCTAGACCGAGAGGCCCTGCCCGCATACTTACCAACACCATGGCAAATTGTTATGAAAATTGATATTCAAGAATATTTAAACTTACTGTAGTAGTAAATATTATTTTCTCGGCTTTTAAGGCGAATTGGCAAGAAAATGCGAAATGCAGGAAAACCTGTCCGATATGGATCAAATATTTTTTGACCTAGTATTAAAAAAAAAAAAAAGATACACGTAAACTCCACATCCATAAATTCATCTTGTAAGTCATTTGCACCATTTAATTTAAAAATCAGTCAGCTGTTTGCTTAGAAAGTCGTTACATAATCCTTAACGGGAAAATTAAAAATACTTTATTCAATCCTGGTTGATTATTTTCAGCTCAAATTATTTTAAAACAATAATGGGATCTCACGGAATAATTGAATATATCAAATTTAAAAATCTATGTAGCCATTCGCTCAGAAAATCATTATATACCTTTTTACTAATTAAACACATCTTATTCAATCATGGGTTAGTGTTTTGAGCTCAAATTGTTTCAAAACACTCAGAGAATCTCACCGAATAATTTTAGTCATCAAACTTATAAATCAATCCAGCCATTTAACCTAGCTTAAAAAAAAAATGTTACATAGCTTTTAGCGGACAAGTTAAACACATAATCCATGTGTTGTTTACCTAACTGGAATAAAAAAACAAAAAAAATGAACATAACCAACTACTATGAAATATATCTATATATATTTTTAATATGTTACATCGGAAGAAATTAAAGATTTAGTTACTATATTTTATGTGTGTGCGTGTGCCAGCCAAGAGTGTTAATGTTGGCAGTGAAGATTGTCAGTACCTTACTTCCATTCAATTAAAATAATCTATAATATTTTATAGTAAGGAAACTCACCTTGTACCATAAACAAGAAATTAAATAGTATACATAATATCTCAGTTATAAAATATGTTTAACTTTATTTGTTTGAACACAAATGCTAAACTATCTATTTAGTAGATTGAAATAGTATCCTTTTCTCTCCAATAACTGCTGGTGAGTCCCTTCCTCTACGACAACACCAGAATGAAGAACGACAATCTTGTCTGCTTTGCAGACCGTCGAGAGTCGGTGTGCTATCAAAATAGTCGTCTTACCAACTGAAGCTTTTTCCAATGCTTCCTGTACAACCTATAAATAATTTTTAAAAAATGAAATTTGTTTTTAGTTCAATTAAAACCCATTTTGTAAGGTTACTTTATCAATTTAATAGATTTTAATAGAAAACATTACCTTTTCACTCTCTGTATCAAGTGCAGAAGTAAATTCGTCCAAAAGCAGTATTTTCGGATTCCTGAGAACAGCTCTGGCAATGGCGATTCTTTGCTTCTGGCCACCAGATAGCTTTGAACCCCTTTCTCCTACTGGAGTGTCATAAGCCTAAAGCAAACATTACAAATCCATGAAAAAAAAAAAGTGTGAACAGCAGAGCACCTACACTAAAGTCGTATCTGATATTTGGTTGGAAATCAGATGAAAATTTATTTCATTAATACTTACCTGACATAATTAAATTACATTTTAAAAACTTTTTAACTGTTGAATTTGTAATATTATAGATAAATATTTCGAATTGGAAATGTGTAAAAGTGCCTGAAACGTCAAAAAAAAAAAAAAAAAAAAAAATTGAATTGTAGCACAGAGAGGACGTGAAAGGGTTCAATAATGTTATTTCCTCAAAATTATTAATTTTATTGATTAATTAAAAATGCCCTTGAAAATTTCTTTTTATGGTTTGTTTCCGAATATAGTTTACTAAAATGAAAGAAAAATGTTGAGAACCTATAAGGCACTTTTTAAACACCAACTTCATTCACAAACAGTCAATCCTCACTTTAAATTTGGTGGGGCTATAAGTGTGCAAAATTGGTGAGGCAAAGATAAAAATTGAAAAACAAAAAACAGTTTTCTAATATCAACTCAATCCAATGCATTTTAAACCCTTTAATTCAATTTGGAGGAACTGCAATGGTGTGCTATACCTCAAAAAATGGGTAAAACACACAAAATATGTCGTAGGTTGGATAAACAATTTACCACCTCTCTAACAACCATTTTATATATATTTCAATCATCTAACTTCATTTAGAGGGGCCAGAGTTGAAAAAAAAAAAAAAAATGGAAACAAGTGTCTTAGCCCCGTAGTATTGTTCTGCCAAGAAATCAACACTACAAAATGAATTTCCACCTGATTGAAAGAGAGGGAGAAGGAGAAAGAGCCTCTAACTGAAATAGATGAAGAAATCGATAGAAAAAAAAAAAGCATGGTAAGTAATGATTAAAATAATTTATTTATTTATTCAGGAGCAATTCCTTTTGGAATGAATTGCAGGAAAAGAATTGTAGGCTTTAAAACCTCAGACAAATTTTAGAAATCTTTAGAAAAAAAAGAGGTTTCTAAAAAGGTTCTAGAGAAACATTAAAAATTAATGGACTATGGTCAGAGGAAAATTCATTTAAATGTGTAACGGGACAATTGGGAGGACCTAAGCCATGGTGGATGAAGAAATCAAGGATATCAGGATCACGCTTAGGATCTCGGGAATAGGAGAGTTTTCACTAGATTAAATTTAACAAAAAAAATAATAGTTTTATGTCAAGTTTAAAATGCACATGAAAAACATTTAATACAAATAAAAAGTAATCAAAATTTCACATGCATGTGGAAGCTTCATTATAAAGTTGTGGATGTTAGCTATTTTTGCGGCTTCGATGATCTTATGCATCTCAACATCCTCTTCTAGGCCATAAAGAATATTTTCCTTTATCGTCATATCAAATAAAGCTGGTTCTTGCGACACGAGGCCCATTTGGCTTCTCAAATACGCCACATTTATGCTGTTGATGTCAGTTCCATCAAAAAGCTGGAAAAGGATTTAATATTAAGTTACAATATTAAACATTGAGAAATTATATGTAATTTTATACTAATAACAGCAACTATATTACATAATATAACACATTACAAATCACAGTGTTATTTGAAATTAAGTAACTCGAACTGCACGGTACCTAATTAGCCAATTAATGGTTTCTACAGCCGGAAATACAACTAAATTTGTTCCTTGATGGCTAAAACTAAAAAAAAAGTGAAATTTTTCGATTCTGACATTACTTTTTTTTCTTCCCATACAAATACTATGTTTCTATACCTTCTGTAATTTCGGTAACGAAAAAAAAAAAAAAAAATGCTCGAGTTCCTTGAATTATTTTCATGAAAACAGAAATATTAGAATTAGGGTGGAAATTAGAAAATTTAGTTGGTTACTGGTGCTTTCTAAGATCTTCAAAATGTGGGCTAAATCATTGGATTGAGAAATGGCTTACTGACAAAAAAAAAAAAAAAAACCTTTGGGAAATAATATATAAAAATTCACAAGAGAATTTATTTTTAAGATTGCATTACTTGTTTGAAAAAAAAATATGATTGGTATCAATATGATCAACTAATGAAATCTATTGAATTAAAGTAGTTCAAATCTTACAATTTTTCCTGAGTTAGGAAGATAGAATCTCTCTAGAAGTGAGATGATGGTTGATTTGCCACATCCTGAGTCCCCTACAAGGGCCACTGTCGTTCCTGCTTTGATCTCAAGGTTCAGATTTTTAAGGACTAGTACTTGATCTCTGGTTGGATAAGAGAACATCACATCTTTGAAAACAATGTTTCCAAAGATTTCCTGAAATTGATAACAACTTTTCAGATTCATTCCAAAGCAACTAGGACAATTTATATTTGTTTCAACTTACTGGTTTATTCTCTTCATCTGTCTGTTTATTGATGTAAGATTTAGTAGATGCAACTCTATAAAGCCTGGCCATAGCCTGTCTGGCTTGGGGGTACTGACTCATCAAGATGAAGATAGGTCCAGCTGACATCGATGTGAAACTGAGGGCACTCATGATACTACATAACAAAAAATTCAAATACAATCACAAATACCTCTCAATATTTTATAACAAATCATTTTCAAATAGCTATTTTTTTTTACATAACTAAAAAAAAATCAAATTATTGGAAATTTATTAACAAATTTGACAGTTTATTCATTTGTTGAATGCATACCAAGAGATCAGTGTCCCAATATTTGTACTTCTAAGAAAGAGTAGGATTGGAATATTAATTGATAATAATTATCTAATAAATACATTGATATTTCTCGCTACAATATTTTCAACCTTTGAATGAAGGAGAACAAGATTAACATTGAATTGAGTATTATATTAAGTAGGATAAGGAGCTGGATGAGGGATTTTCTTGTTTAAAAATATGCTAAATCAAGACAGGAAGGGATGCCGCTGGGTGCTCCTCTCCATCAAGCCGATCAAGCCACTACCTGTACACTTACCAACAGCAGACCCGCTAATTGTCATTGCTTATGAGAGGTGTGGGTATATAAATAAAGTTTAAAAAAAATATATTAAGTAGCAACAATTAAGTATTTACATATTGTTTATCTCAAAAATGTATCAACTTTTTAGTATTAATAAATTGATAGTTTTTCATGAATTTTCTCGAAACTAAAAATTATAATTTTTAGAAAATAGAAAAAAAATCAATCAAATTTCTGAATATTAAAATAAAAAAAATGTATAAAATTAACATTTATTATTAAAAAGAATTGTTTATTTTAATTTCTTAAAAAAATAATAAAACAACAATTAAAATTTGCTTCATAATATAATGTCAAAATAAGTTTATTGTTTATGAAAACAAGTGTATTCTACCTTATAAGTAATGTTCCTCGGACTTTACTACTTGCAATATCATTGGCTTCAAAAACAAATGTCATGCCTGTCGACAATCGGATCAGAGTTCTACTCATACCGTAAATAAGTGCATACCAAATTATGCTTACAAATGCTTCTCTAGATAAAATTTATTTGGTTAATAAATGCTTTACAATATGGAATCAAGAGAAAATAATAAAATAAATAATGATTACCTCTTAGAAAGCATAAGTAAATCCTGATAGTGATCAATAAGATACTGCTGACAGTTAAGTAATTGGATTGTTTTGACATGTTGAACATACTCTGTTGCAACCTAAAGGACAGTTCAATTTTAGAAGGTTATAATATCAACATTATAGAGCTAATAACCAGTGTAAATATTTTAATAAAACAAATTTTACGTTATTTATGGATATATTTTACCTTAGTAGATCTGGTTGCAAGGAAGGCGGACTTAGTATCAGCAAGTGTCGATTTCAATCTCAAACCATTGAGTGTAATAAATATTAGAACAATAGGTAAATTTATTAGTGTCACAGTTGTACTGATGAAGAATGAATAGCCAAAAGAAATTAGTACCGAAAGTATAAAGTTAACTACCTGAGCTGCCCTGTCTCCTGTCACCTGTCCAATTATCTTGATATTAATGACATTAATTACATAGAGCACCCTTAATGCTAACAAAAAACCTAGCACCTTTTGAACCAATCAAAATTCTGGAACTGATTTCTTGTAAAAGCAAAAAAAGGCGTCGAAGAAGCTGTGGGTGCAGAAAAATTCTGATCTATATCTTAAACATCTATCATGAATCTTGTTGAAAAAATGAGTTAATATTAGTATATATTGTATTTTATAGTTATATTAGTAGATCCTCAACATTGCATGTGAAATCTTTATTGAAAATTATGGGTAAGTGAAATATGATAGTTAAACTTGAGAGAGATATCACATATTTGTAAAAGGACAGGGATTGGAAAAAGTCTGGCACTCTTGACTGTTATTATTGGTTCTAGTTCCCGTCTTACTAACTTTTATTTCTTCTTTCATTTTATTTTTATTGCTAGTTACAATTTGAAGAAGTTAATTTTTTTAAATAAACAAAATTAAAGGTACTTTAAAGGAAGAAATTTTACAAATTTGGCATTTAAGGTCTGTCTATTTCAATGGGGACAATACTTATCATACATCAAAAAAATTTTATTTTAAATTGGAGTAACGAATTTCATTAAAGTTATTAGAGCGATTTTTGATAAAATTATAAAATTACGTAAATTTAACCATAAAAAGTACTATTTTCGGTAAACCGATTTTGACCAAAAAGTTGCTGTAACATCCCAGATATATATTTACCTTAAATATCTATTTTAAGTTTTGTCTGACTTTTCATTCAGCTAAGCTATTCACACATATGGACCATTTTGTAAAATATTTTTTTTTGGGAACCTCAAAACACATGTTTCTGATGAAAACTTTGATTTAAATTTTTTTATGATTGCAATACTTCTCCTTACTGAATATCTACTAATCCTTACTGATTGCAATACTTGCTCTTACTGAAAATTCATCAGTTGTAACTATAACTTAATATTATTAGTTGTACTTACTGATTCGATGAGAGGAGGGCAGTTGGTCAATATTTCAAGGCATTCATTAGGAGAGTTTCCACTCCTATCAAACCAGCTTATGTCCATGGATACTAATTTAGTAAAAACTTTATTCTGTAGTTTTTCCAACCATAATCTAGTTGCCATTGTTGACATTACACCCTTAAAACAAGATTTATTTTCTTTTTATATTTGATTTAACTTTCCATTATTATGGATTATCAATTCTGCAACATTTTACTAATACAAAATACAAATTATTGATCAGTTTGATTTTATTTTTTCAAAATTGTTAAGCTATTACTGAAAGGAAGAAAAAGAATTCTCCATCTCTGGCAGGAGACAAAGAGTAGTCAATCATTTATAACCATGATATAGTTGACTTAAAGAGTTACAGAACCTATTACTGTTTCAATATTTATTTAAATGTTCTATGCTGGTCAACTATTTATTCAACCAGGCTCTAAACTAAATTGTCCTCATGAGTAGATCTTGTTCCATTTTTTAATATGACAAAAAATAATAAGAAATGCCTGGGAATTACACTTATTGCACCAACAATTTCTAACAATTTGGCTATGGAATATGATAATGCAATAAATGATAAAAAAATATAATTATGATAAAAATCAGGAAATATAGGAATAAGAAGGTATTTTGAAATATCAGTTCAGTGGCTCAGTACCAATCAAAAGCTTAAAAGTTAATTTCAACATTTCTACAATTTTACTAGAGAAATTGAATATAATCTACTTAATTTTTATTATTAAATTTTTCTTTTTGTCTAATATTGTTAACACAAAGTAAGTGTAACCTACAGTGTTTTTTTCAATTAAAAAAAAAAAACATGCAATGAACAGTTATTTGAGTGCTAACAATTTATATTATCACCACACATAGTTCAGAATCCTCTAATTTATAATATATGAGTTAATATAAACAACTTGGAGTGTTGAGAAGAAAATCTATCGAGTAAATTTATTTTTTAAGTGTGCCTTTAAGCTATACTTACAGACAAAGCTGCAGAGAAAAATGAAATAATGCCTAGTACAAAAATAATACCAACATTTTTCAGAGCTATCCAACTCACTTCATCCTTAGTATGAGTAAATGACTAAAAGTAAAAGGATTAGAATCCATATTAAAAAGAAAAAAAATAACAATAAACCTGTACACTTTAGTATTGAAAAACTATTACCTCACAAAAAAGACTAAAGATATAATAGAATACGGGGAGAAATGTTGATATGATGGTAGTGAACAAAACTGCCAATAACCATACGACTATAACTTTAAGGTTTTTCTTTTTTATTGTTAAGTTTCGGTCACTTTCTTCTTCCTGGACAGATAAAAAAAACAACAAAAAAACATTGAATGGTTTTGCAACAATTCACCACCACAAAAACTAAGTTGAGCAATGATCATAAGTCAAATTCAGATAAAAGTATCTTACCACAACGAAAGTTATGTCTTCTTTAATCAAATCCTCTTGAAAAGTACATTCTTGGCTTTAGAATGAAAAAAATATTATTAGATACAATTTAGATACAACACTAGATAGTTTGAAAATAGTATTCATCACTGAGCAACTCATTATTTAAAGAGAAAGAGACTGACAGCTCTTGATTCATATTTAAGTCCATCATTTCCTAGGTCTGATATTGTCATGCCTCAAATATGAGTCCACCGACGCCGCCCCTGATTCTGTCTCAATTCATGTATGAGTCCACTGTGTCGTTAAAAGATTAAGAAGGTAGAGATAAAAATAAGAATTTATAATTACTTATCTAACCAGTCCTTAGTTATGGCACAGAACGTTGGACAGTGAGTAATTCCAAGGAATAAATTTGAAAAGAAGGTGCAGAGGAGAATATACATTGGTGTTTATGAAAAAGGCAAAAGCATTTTTCCATACCATTGTTCTCATGATGTTCCTCAATATTGTGTTCTGAAATTGATATAGACGGTGATGTCTGCTATCTGCAAGATGTGTGAAAAAAGGGTGCCATAGAGGAGTGCCAATTGGAAATGTCGGCAGATGGTGCATACTATTGTATAGTAGGACTTTCTCTTTGCTTTGAGATTTTTGATGATTATGGATAGAAAAACAAAAATATCAATACAGATAAATTAAGGAGTTTAATGCATTTGTTGAATGTGCGACTCAAAGAATTATTGGAAGTGTATTTTTTTGGTGTGCAAACACTACAAAATCCATTTTCACTGCATTAACTTTTAACTGAAAAAATGTGATCATGATAATATAAGTTTTGAGACAATTTTGCAAGGCTAAATTTTGGTTCTATAACAAGATTTTTATTGAGTCATATATTTTGTATTTTTCCAGTATCAAAGAAATTCCTATTTTCATTTGAAAAAAATTGTTAGTGATTGGGTAATCAAGATTATAGATATTTTACCTAATAGTTAATAATGTATATGTTTCAAATTAATGATACTATAAAAATAACTTAACTAATGTTATTACAATTATTTATTGATATTACTAGAATTAGTTTGTAAATTTCTCTTTTCAAATCTAATAAATATTGTAAGCTTACTTTAAAGAACAAACTCTTTCCTTTTCTTCTTGTTCTTCAACTTTGACCAGAGAGTAGTAATAACCATTAAGTTTCATCAGGTCACTGTGTGAGCCTTTTTCCACAACGCATCCATTCTAAATGGGATTGCATTAGTAATACATTTTTACATCAAGAATAAAGTTCAAGCCCCTGAATGAATCACTTACATTCATGACATAAATAACATCAGCCTTCCTCACTGTTGATAATCTATGTGCAATGATTAAGGTTGTCCTACCATGCATAGCATTATCAAGAGCTTTTTGGACAATGCCTTCTGAAAGAGAGTCTAGTGCAGAAGTGGCTTCATCAAGAAGTAGCAATTTTGGTTTTCTGACCATTGCCCTTGCAATAGCAATTCTCTGTTTCTGGCCTCCTGAAAGCTTGATTCCTCCTTCCCCAACAATAGAACCATAACCCTGGGCAAAAACAGCAAGTGAAAAAATATGGGAAAAATTTATTGTTGTTAAATCTAGAAGATTATTTATGCTGTAAAAAAAACTTTGTTGTTATGTGCAAGTAAGTCGAATATTAAGACTGACATTGTTAATTTTAACATAATTCTTTCAACTTAATTTTGTAAAATATTGTAACTCCTTTTGTGCAACAATAAGTCTAAATCTGGAATTATTAGACTGAGACCACTTATATCTTTGGAAAAATTCAAAGGTTACAAGAATAAAATACATGCTTCAATGATTTACAATCAAACACCTTAACACAAATGAGATTATTGACGGATCTATGGGGAGGGCGTAAATTTTATTCCTCTTTAATATAGTTTGAAATATTACTAAATATAATCAGTTTATTGCAAAAAGCGATATTTCATAACCTCAAATAATTAAGAACTTTGATGAATTTTCTATTTGTGAAGTCAGAAAATTTTGCATTTAATGTAATCATACATAATAAACAAAATTATTTGTGTCATTTTCATGCAATTACAATGTTTTTGTATTGATAAATAAGTTCGAATTTCACAGTACAACTATGAAAGTTAAACTATATCAAAAATGCACTTAGTGACTTTTTGAAATAAACCCATCATATATTCCCTCAATAATGACTCAACAATTAGTGAAAGACAAAATTCATCCTCATAGATTTTGGGCAAAAGCCACTCTTCCAAAATAGACTAATAATTTTTTTTCATATGTCCATACTTGTGATTAGGAATAATCTGAGCGAAATACTTAAAGAGTTGAAATAGGTGTACACTTTTAAAAATTATAACGCATAAACAGCTACTAAATGTAAGCACGTGTCAAGAAATAATTGATCTCTAAAAGCATTTTCTTTTTCTTTACAAGCCTTCATAATTACCTTTAAATTAAAAAATGAAAAACAAGCCTTCCCCTCCGCTACCAAAATTAAATCCTGCATCTGCTTCTGACTGATATAGACATCATAGTAAAATAACTAAAAACCTAAACATTTCGAGCATTTTTTTTTATTATTAACTAGTATCCTTTTCCTTATAAAGATGATTACTAACTGATTTGTTGATATGAAACAAAGAAAAAACTTTTCTTTAATTTATCTAACAATTCTGTAAAATGCCTAAGGTATGCATAACCAAATACTCCAATTTACTAAAATTAAAATTGTTTTTATATTATCTTTTCTCATCTCATTATTATTTGTTTATTTATTGATTGATTCCTTTTACACCTAATAATTTTTCATAGTTTCTTCTAGTTTAATGTAGTATACACAGCTTTGTGCTGACATAAAGATATTTTTCAAGTGTGTTGGAAATTTTTTTATGCTTGTTGGTTTCTTGCCAAGAAAAAGATGCTTGGAGTAACACTATGATCCAGTGTTGAGTATTTCATAGTAAGAGATTATTATTACCTCTCTGGCACTCTCTTTTATCACTGTTGAGAAAACATAATATTCTATTACTAAAACATTTCTATTTCTTAATTTTAACAATGTGCTTACTGAAGGTAATTTTTCTATAAAATCATGAGCATAAGAAATTTTAGCTGCTTTGATGATCTCCTCCAAAGTTGCAGTAGTTTTTCCATACCTAATGTTCTCTTCTATGGAAGTATCAAAGAGAATAGGTTCCTGCCCCACAACACCAATTTGGTTCCTTAGCCAACTGACATTGAGTTTATTTACATCAACTCATCCTATAAGAATCTGTCATAAAAGTATAAAATTACTTAGAGAAAATACTTTTAATTTTCATATCCACAAATTTAAATAGTTTGTAACACTTAGACCTGTCCAGCAGTAACGTCATAAAGGCGCAAAGTTAAGCCCACAATAGTACTTTTTCCTGCACCACTAGCTCCTACGACTGCTGTGACTTTGCCAGGCTCAATGTTCAATGTAAGATCATGGAGCACCTATATTTTAAAATTTAAATTTGCAAATTTTCTTAAATAAACTTAAATGAATAAAAAAAAAAAAATCGTTTAGATAGCTTAATCTGAACATATACCTTAGTGTGTATATTTGTTGGATAAGAAAAATGAACATTTCTAAAAGAAACATCAGCCTCAAACGTGTCTGGTACAAAACCTTTTTGGGTTGATGTGCTATAACTGGTCTCAGAGTCAAGGAACTGCATAACTCTGCAAGCGGAATCTGTTGCCATGAAGAGATCAGAAATAGTACTCAACATGTATATAGAACGATATATAATAATAATTTGTGCTGATAAAATCTAGAAATTAAAGAATGACATCAATCAATTGGTAATTAAAATTCAATTTGATATTCAAATTTAGATAAAAGTAATCAAGGTTTTATTAAATATTTTTCAAATTAATATTAATATATTAAGTATTAAATACTAAAAACATACAATTGTGATCTGGGAAATCGGAAGAAAACTGATCAGTATTTCTGTAATTATGTATAAGAATCTTCAATTAAATCACTTGATTATTTAAGTTGTATAGGATTGTTATTGGTTATTGCTATTCAGCAATCAGTGAAATTGCATTGTTTTTAAATAACACAATATGGTTTATTAAATAAAATACCGATTCTCTGATTTAAATATTCTCAATAATTCTTTTTTACTTTCACTTACCTATATATGTGATACATAGTATGGGAAAGTATTGTGATCGTGAAATGCTTTTAATCTAAGTTTTCAATGGAAATACACATTTTGATGTTTGAGTTCAAACAATCCAGTTCTGCAAAGTAGTCTGTGTGTGTGATCAGCTTAGCTCAAAATCGAAAAGTCGTAAGAAACTGGTATTATGTATTTAAGATAGGTACATTCCTGGGATGTTAGTGCAACTATTTCTCTAAAATTGGATAACCTGAAGTGCCTCTTTAAACTATCAATTTTACATATTTTCACGACTTTCTCAAAAATGGTTCAAACAATTTTCATTAAACTCGATAAATCAATGTACAATTAAACGGCATTTAATATCATTTAGGCCTTATCTTCATTGATGTTGCTTAACAGGGCTTAAATGGCAAATTTTCAAACTATCTTTGTTTCAAGTACCTTTAGTTTGGTTTATTTTAAATAATTAACTATTTCTCATTAACAGAAATTATGAAAAAAAGGCTAAATATAACTTTTGAAAGAATTTGATAATTGAATAAAGGAGGAAAAAGGAAAAATGCTTATTTAGCTCAAAAATGAATCTCCTGAAATAATTGTCAGAAGGTAAAGGCATAATATATTGCTGGAAAACAGAATTTTAGGAAAAAATAATATCTGATGTTAAAAAAAAAAAAAAAATTAATAATTATTTCTGAAAATTAAAATTATTTAATGGAAATCACTTGTTTCCAAAGAAATTAAATAAAATTTCTTAACGAAATGTAAACTTTTAAAGTTATGTTTAAGTTTGAAAAAGAAGTATATAAAGTCCACCAAAAGCAAGGTAATGTTTAAAAACTAGTTCATTGTACTTGTGTGATAGAAGATGTGAAATATAAAATGAAATGGATGTATAAAACATACGTCTATAATCTTAAATACATTGCCAATACTTTAATAACTCTAGACCTCATAATAAATTTAAATAATTAAATATATATCGTTGATTAATTTAGAAAAATTCAAAGTAAAGCAGTAAGTGAAAGTTGTGTGATGCGCATACCAGATTGTTTTTTCCTCTAAAGAATAATTGGGTAACACTAATAATTTTTAAAAATGTATTTATTAATGGAATTTACAACTATATAAATTAAATAAATATCTAGTACATTTGTACAGAGAAATACAGTAGCATGAAAACAATTGTAGAGAATCTACCCATTGGTAGCACTCTAATAAAGCATCTAAATTAGAAGATTAGGAGGCCATGTTTTTTTTTAGACTCTTTGGCGGTATATTAGGGATCAAAGAGGCAGTTGGATAGTTCTGAAGTTTATTCTGAAAAGATATCTATCCGATTCAGTCCGATGTAAAATGAAAAACATATAGGAAATTAAGATCATTATGGATGATTTTATGTGACAAAGTTAGAAGCATTGAGGATTTTGGATTGTATATGAGTATAGCATTGAGGATTGGATATGAGAGGAATTCAATAGCCTAGTGGCTAATATTTAATCTGGTATATATAATACAGTAGTAGATTTCCTACTACAACCTTAATAATAATGATTAAAAATATAAATGGTATATAGGGTGCCTAACCTCCCGAGGATGGTGGAGTGCTTCTCTTCCTCATAGTGAGGAGAATTGGTTAACGATAATATTGGTTTCTTCCAATTGTGTTTGTTAAAAGATTGTCTTAATAAAATTATTGTTATAATATTATTGTTCATACAAATAAAGATGTTTCCCTACTATTGCTTATTATTCAAATGTATTTGAGAGAAGGATATAATTTATGATTATGAAATTGGTAAATAATTATTAAATTTACTCACCATTGCTATATTTCGAGGATCAAAATCATCCACAAGGAACAGCCTTACAGAAAAGTAATAGGCTGCCATATAACAAATGCACAATTGGAAATAATTGAAAGCTTTCGCCATTGAGATCAATGTAGCTTGTTTTAATCCATACTTATTGGCCATTTTTAATGTGCTTTTGTACCTAAATAAGATATATTTTAAAGACAATTCAGTGAATAAATACAGTATACAACTGATAAAAATAACTTTAATACATTATAAAAATCTACAGTACTAAAGTTAAAATATAAATACACAATACCTTTCTGCTTCTTTATATTCACCTCCATATGCAGTGACTGTTCGTGCATTTCCTAATACTTCGGAAGCAATTTTTGTACACTTTGCATTAAATTGCTGCTTCAGTCTTCCTTTCTTTTTTGATAACTGAAAACAGTATCACAGTAATTATATAGAATGAAGATCACTGAAATTCAAACAATTGTTACAGTTTATGTAAAAAAAAAAAAAGAAAGAAGAGAAATTTAATTGATTCAATGATGTTTTATGGGCTGCTAATAGTCAAATAACAGTTTGTAGAATTAGTGAAACAACCTACATCAACAACTTCTCCTGTCAGACCTCCATATTTCGACCTTTAAATATCATAGTTTCTTAGTGAGAAATGGGAAAATTACAGAATTAATATGATTGTTAAACTGATGATCAACTTACATTTATAATAAAATATATGATCACTATATCAGCCAACATCAATCCAAGGGTGAAAAGTGCCACCTTCCATGAAACGATGAAACCAGCTATACACCCAAAAAAGAAAGATGACAGATATCCTACTGCAGATGTCATCTTACTATCCAATAAAAACATCACCTTTCTCAAATCGCTGAAATAAATGTGAAAAGCAAATGAAATGTTCCAACTCTGTCTCACTTATCAATTCCAGTTTTATCAGTCTGGTCAGAGATAGCCACCATTTGACATACCTATTAGCTCAGTAGAAATAAATGAAAAAACAGCTTAAGATGGAACTGATTGGAACAAAAATTATTGAGGAAGGAGATTGTCCAGGGACAAACTTTATTTATGACTGCCTCCCAGGAGCATCTCCTTCCTCGATATTATAGAATGGACAAGCATTGGGTATTCAATATAACAAAAATTATTTCTTTTGTAAATGATAGGTAACATGCTCCTAATCAATACATATCCATGCTGTCTTTATTTGGCTGCCATATTAAAAATAAATCTGGTGTGGTGCGAGCATCACACAACTTTCACTTACCATCTTCTTCTTATCAAAAATAAGTATTTTCAGACAAAGCGAAGCGAAAGTAAAAATTATAGACTCCATATTTATTAATATTTCATTTTAGGTATTTTTATTTGTATAATACCCTCATATATACAAATTTTATTATTTATATCGCTGTAACCTATACAATTAAATATTAAATAATACCAACAAAGCATTTATGAAAGCCACATATGTATATTTATATAATATTGTCGGAATCTGTATTATATTAATCTCATGATGATTTGGAAGCGTGTTCTAATCTTTCAGGCGAGCTTGGGTGCGCTTGTCTTTCTTAGTTCCTCAATTACAATTATTCTCTGATACGATCTCTTATTTCTCCTTTAGTTAATCATCAAATTCTTTCATATTTTATATTTAATCATTTTTCATATTCATATAAATGGTCAATTGTTTCAAATAAACAAAAATAAAGGAATAAAGGTACTTTCGAGAAAGCTAATAATGAAAATTAGCCATTTAAGCCCTGTTAGAGAACATCAGTCAGAATAATAACCACATTTTATTTAAAAGTGCTTAGTTTTACACTGACATGATGAATTTAATCAAGTGTGATATAATCAAGTTTTGAGATAATCATAAAAATATGTTTAGTCCATGATATAAAATAAAGTACCACTTCAGGTTAGCCGATTTTGACGAAAAAGTTGCTGTAACATCCCTGGCATATAAAAACCTTAAATATGTAATTTCACTTCCGTACAACTTTTCATTTTTGAACAAGACTGTTAACACACACACCATTTTGCGGAACATTTGGTTATTTGTACTCAGGGCACCTCAAAACGTGTATTTCTGTTGAAAGCTCAGATTCAAAAAATTTCACAGATCGCAATACTTATCCTTACTTTATATTACATATATTTGTAAGTGAAAGTAAAAAATCATGTTTTATATCACATTACAGGATATTGTGAGCTGAGAGTATGATAAAATAAAAGAGTATAGTATTGTTTTAAAAAAAAAATTATAGGAAGTAACAAAATGTTAGCCAAAAAATAGAATGATTTTCAGTATCGGAAAAATATTTTTATTACTTTAAAAAGGAATAACCTAGCTTTAACTTGGCTCATCATTTTTTAAAAAAGGTTAAATTAAAGACAAACTACTTAAAATTTCACATTATTTAAAATCTAAAATTTGAAGAGTCGGTTAATCTATTTAAAATTAAATCTCATCTTGATCTTGGTCTAAATTAAAATGGAATGATTTGTTTCATTTCACATTTCTTACCACTATTTTTTATAAACTATGGAACATGGGAGTCTAAATCTTTGAAAATTTTAATTAAAAATCATTTTTGTTTTTTTCTACTGACTGGATAGACTAAAATGCCACAAGTAGATTCTGGCTTTTGTGTGAAATTAGATGCTTAGTGCTTAGTGGTGACTAGAAAATTTCATTAGCGGGAGGTTGGAGTTAAAGTATTTTTTATTTCAGCAATCTATTCGTTTTTCATAATAAAACATTATTTCAAATTGTTGACACCAATGTTCCCTAATACCAGCTTTTTGACAGGTGTTGATGACCCTAGGGTTTTATGCCTTAAAGCCTAAATAAACAAACCAGTTTTTAATTTTGATGATGAATGAGATTTCTATTTCAGCAATTATTAACATAACATTTTCCAAAGTTTTCTAGTCATTTTATAACAAGTAATGACACTAGTTATTTACAAAAAATTATAATAAATAAAAAAATTGTAAAGTAAAATCATTCCTTTGTCTCTTTGGTCTGACCCATTCTCTTAAAAGATTTTTGGAAAAAACAACAAGGCTTTGCCAAGCTTTATAATTTTTTTTTTAATCCTCATCAAGATGAGAATTAAATTTTATGAGATAAACCCATTCTACAAATTTCAGATTTTGTTTAACATGAAATTTAAGGTTATATAATATAATAAAATTTTAATTTTTTTTTCTTTTAATTTGACATCTGTTTTAATTGTGAGGCAAGTTAAAAATATTTTTAAAAATAGGTACTAAAATAATAAAAATGTTTTTCAATACTGAAAATCATTCAAAATTTTTTCATTTCAAGATTCAAAGAAACACATTTCACAGGCAGCATGGGTATATAATTTTAGTAAAATGATTAGCACTATGTTACCCACCATTTATTAAAGAAATTATTATGGTTCCAATTAGTTCCACATCTAACACTATTTCTACTGTACTATATCTTATCACTCGTTTTATTTCATCGAAGTTGTTTTAACTTTTTTTTTTTAGATTATTTGAAAACCATTAAACATAGAATTAATAGAGTTTTGAATTCAATCATTTCAGAATCTAATGAGAAATGCAATCAAGAATCCTTTTTATAAATAGTCAGTGACATAAAAGTGCCTACAAAAATTCTAAATGTTGTTTAAACTCTCATCAAAAGTCTATGAAACAATATAGATTGGGATGAGCAGGCCCTCAGTCCCACCAATTGACAAATAGCTCAAACATTACTTTATTCATATTTTGAATCAGTACTAGCGTGTGTTAATGCTCAAGATTGCTTTTGATAATTGAAGTGATAATGCTTCTTCTTTACTTGATTATGTTTGCTTCCAATAATTTAATATTAGTTAATATTTCATTTAAAATATAGCTCGTGAAGTGCTCCCTCCTCGCTCAATGTAAGCAACAAGGTCTCGTATCACAATAGTATACACTACAATTGTATGCATACTTATCCTCTTCCTACCTTGAGAGCCTGGTGTGAGCTAGCATCCAAGCAGGCCTCGTCAGTTACTGTAGTGCAGCTACTCGCACCTTGTGACAGCATAATACGAGTAACTGTCGATGTGCAAGTGGGCCAGTAACTAGCATCCGAGTTACTATAAACTTTTTTGTTTTCACTCACCACTCGCCTTCCCCCACCACACTGGGAGCAGCCACTCGCCTGTGGCATGGACGTCAACTTGTACGTTATTTCGAAACGATAGTAGCTCGTACAGCTTGGATCATGCCAGTGCATTATTTTCATTTCGATGAATGCTTTTTCTGTTTTTATTATTCGGGTAGTGGATGTAAAAACAAAAATTGGTGGATAGATGGAGTGTGGACCAAAATATATATTTTGTGGAGTTATATATGGACCAAACAAAGTTATACAATTGGTTATATTATATATTGTGGATAAACGGATTTTGCATATTCCTTTGCTTGCGATTTATGACCTAAATCAATCTGTTTTTCTTCTTCTTTTTTTCCAGCACTTTCAGCTCGAAATATTTCAGCTCAAAGTATTTTTTAAACCGCTTTTATTGCAGTATGAATTATGGTGAGTCGTGTAGTTTGTGACAACATTGCACAAGAACACGGCACAAAATTAGTGAAGAACTGATATGAGTGCACAGGTGCAATAACTGTCTACTTTCATGCCTGTAGGTCGCACTTATATGACAGAGCGAGGCGAGTCGAGTTACTGTCACGTGAGTACACAGGTGCAGTAGCTGTCCACTGTCAGGTCAGCAACTCGCTTTGTGTAACCAGTCCCTAAAATATCTTTGATCAGTACAAGAAAAAAGTAAAAATGGATATATACATATGTATATAATTATATTTATATATTGTACTTGTATAATTAAATCACTGGAGGATGAGAATTTTTTTTTTTAAATGGTTTTGTATTAACCTTTTAAATAGATAAACAATACTTCTTTAAACTATAAAATGCGCATTTTTTTTGCCAAGCCCTGCTTTTTAAAATTGTTTCAGAAAACGTAAGTAAAATTTCTAGTATCATATTTTCGAAACATAGGAAAAAATTAGGAATTAGATGATAAGACTTATATAGGTTCGACATACAATGTAGCTCAATTTCCATACAAAATTTATGAGAATTAAAAAAATTCATAGAAAAGAAATTTTTTTTTGTATCATGCTTGAATGACATGTTAAAGTAAAGAAGTATAAATTGTTAATGGATGATCATAGCACGTAATTGCAGAGACTTACTGTGATACAGTACTTATGAACTGCTCCTGAGATTTGTCATACCAGCTAATGTCTATCGACAACATCTTTGCAAGATAGTCAGTTTTTATTTTGGCAATTATATTACGAGAAACTGTTTCTGAAGCCATAATCTGAAAAATCATTCAATACACAAATAAATTCAAATAATTTTAATTATATTTAATGATTCATATAAAACAGTAATATTATAAAAATAATGTTAATTAATTTATATATATGAATGGCTTCATATCAAAGACAAACATCTGTCCCTTTCAAAGATAAGAAGTCATTTTTTGTTGTTATAGGTTCAACTTAAACTATTTCTGATGATTTTATTTAATAATGTTCAAGATGAAGCATGAACAAAAAAATTAGAATTAGTTGACATTGAAGCACTGTGATGAAAAAATGTCTTTTTCTTAACTTTTTGAAAACCACAGATGTATGTCTTTATATCATGCTTGAATCTGCTCTTTTTTTTAACTTCTGACAGGAATACAAAACTTTTCTACTTTTGTTAGTGTGGAAAAAAAAAGTTTGCAGACATGGTCAGGATAGTTTACTCAGCATTTCAGTTGAATATAGGTTAATAAGGTTAATTATTTTTCGTCTTGAAATATTTTACTCTGAATTTTTACTGGAATTACAAATGTACAATTTCGATTTTGGTTACAAACAATTTTTGAACCTCCTATATAAAGTTTTTCTGCCTTTGACAGAAAGCAAAATGTAAAGTCGTAAACATGAGGATTATATATTTGATATTAATAGTTAGTTTCTTAACTCAAAAATCCTAATATACGTAACAATTACCATTAAAATTATTATTTTTTTAAATATTTCTCATCTGTATCTTCCATTGGCTCACTTCAGTAAAACAAAACTCAACTGCTCCTAAACATAGGACAATAGTTATAGAAACGTGAAATACTCAGGATTTTAACTGTTTTTGAAGATTAGTCTTATTTCTGGAGTGATTTTCAGTTATTTTTAAGTAAGTACAACATACACAACATTATTTCCCCAAACAAATAAAGTTAGACAACAGCCAAATATTACTACGAAGGGTAAGTGACGGGCGTGGAGTTACTAATTTCAACAAAACATTTTAGTGAAATTAGATTAAAAATATATTTGACTCATATCCGAGGGTTCTTGCCAATGCATCCAACCAGCCAAAAAAATAAATTAATTAATTTTAACATTTTTTTAAAATTATTCTTTTCTTTCTTCCCTGTGCATGAATTTCTAGGTCATAGTTTATCAATATATTTGTTTTTAAGGTAAAATAATAAAGAAATATTACTAATTATATTAAATCAATTCAAATATTAGAGAGGCTTCCAGTAAAATATGCCAAGTAAATTTTTGTCGTAAAAAAACAATTCATATTTGTATCTAGCATTATTTTAACCTCTTAAATACTAATTTATTTTGAAATAAATAAGTATAAATGTTTGAACTTGATTTTGTTGGAGGATTTTTTTTTTTTCAAGTCGTTTACTAAAGCATTCATAACCCCTCCCCCTTCTCCCCTCCCCCCCGGGATTTTCATGTTGAAGATGTCACAATTTCTGTGATTATAGCAAACAAATTAAAAATTATTCTATGAGAAATCGAAGAAGAAAGAAACAAATTTCGACCAATCAAATTTTTTATTTATTTTTGGGGGAGAGCTTCAGGGTGAAAGCATCTTCTTTTCCCCTTAGATCTGCTAATAGCTGTCTATAACCCATAAAACGTCATCAGTTTGTTACTTGACTAATCTCCCTAAGGTCACAGGTCAAGATTTTCTTTAATAAAACCAAAAAAAAAGAACTTCTCTTTTGGATGTTAATGACATTTAATTTTGGATTGTTTAGTCATAATCATGTCAATTAGTCAGCTTTGTGAAATAGTTAATTCATTAATCATCAACCAGCTTTTTAATTGCCAGTTAAAACCAGAGGGCTTGTTAAGTGGGCTCCCATTTGAACTTTTTAATGGATCACCAAATAAATAAAATACAATAAGATTAAGATTTTACCTGAATGATACCTAAAATGAAATCTATCGCAGAGAGTGTGAAGTAACCATAGCCAATCTCTGAGACCCTAGAAATCAATTCTCTCCTGGTGACATTAAATGGCTGTAAATTATCCAAAAAATAATTCCAACTTGAAAAAAATGTAAAATTCATTTAAAAAAAAATAGCTTCATACTCACATTTCCCGGAGTTTCCATTTTCATGAACAATTTCAGAGTCGGTGTGAAAAGTGCCCATATAGCAAATGGTGATATGAAACTGTTACCTATGGCAGCTAGCAGGCTCAAGATTAGAATGGTTGTTTCCTTTTTGTTTGCATAACAGAACTACAATAAGAAACATTCATGAATTAATGTTTCACAACTCAAATAATGTAATGGAGGAAAAACAAAACAAAAAAACAAACTACATATTTAAGAACCGCATATCTTATATCAAATCTTTACTGTTAAAATTGAAATGAAGGCATTTTACAGAGGAAACCAATTCTCATTTCACATATTTTGAATAAATTCAAGTAAAAATTAATAGCATTAGAATATCTGAAGGCTTTCAAATAAGTATATTTTATTTTTTTTGTCAAAAACTTAAAATTTTACTCTAATATTGATTCCACAACAGATTAATAATAAAACAAAATTTATTGTGGTTTGGTTCCAATACTTAGAAATACAAACATCGCTTTGTATCTCCAGTATTTTTTTCAACTTCGATTTTCAGTTGAAGTTAATTGAAACAAGTGATTGTTCTTTTTTTTAAAAGATAGTAACCACTAATCCCATTCAAACTCATTTTAACATCTTTTATGAATTGCTTCTTTTATTTAAACTGTTGAAGTTTAAAGAATGATGCACTTACGATTCTGAAAACAGTCCTTAGTTTCCCCATATTTTCTTTACTGAAACAGAATATGGAAGGAGTGATTAAAAAAATTACTATTAACTGATTTCTAAAATAAATAAAAAATAATAGGATTTGACATATTTACTTTTATTTAGAATTTCAAAAAATATGTTTTTAAGGGTATTTTTGTAAAATAACTTTCATCATTTTGTTAAAGTAATTTATTTATTCCTTCACATTGCAGCATAGCAAAATGAGGCAACAAATAAATTATTTTAATGCACGAAAGAAATTTACTTCACAAAAACACTCTTCAATTTATCATGTATCATTTATTTTTCAAATCAAATGAAAATAAAAACAATAAATTTGCTTTGTATTTTTTCTTAAACATTAAACTGATATAACTAACCTGTTCTTTTGTTGAATTTTATATATCTTACTCCTGTTCCAGAACTGAAACAAAACGAAAAAATATGAAAATAATAATTTAAATAAAACAAGCTCAATGGAATAATAAGACTAACATTCATGAAGTAACTATCACAGTATTTCAACGCTTTCTAAAATTTTATTTAAAAAATACAATACTATTTTGAGGTTTCTGATAATATATTTTTATTTAGTTTTTTTGAACTATGTATTAACTTATTTTGTTTTCTACCATTCCTTGTCTCAAGGGAAACAGCACACTACTGCAAATATGAAAATGTACCATTTTACACTTAAAATGTAATACAATTCTAACAGTGCATACAGCTTGTTCTTCATAACCTCTTAACTTTCGGTTCAAGGAAGGTATCATCTTCAGGATGTATTGAGGGGCTGGTCTTCTTCACCTGCAGTTCCAAGGACTGGAAGTAAAGGGCTGGACTGTTAACTTCCAGATATAAATAAACTCCTTAAATGTGAGAAGTTCTCCAAACTTCGCATTCGAGGAAGTTATTCCACCAGTGGTTCTCATCCTAATGGTCCTGATATATCTTAAAGGTAGAAGAGACCGTGTGGACATGTTTAAAGGTCTTCAAACAACCAAAATCAGGGTTTTGGTTGTCCATATCCTGGCCAAGACCAGTTCAACTACCCCAGTCGCCCACTTCTTCTCATTAGATGAGTTTCAAAGATATTGCCCCCCTTCGTACCGCTTCATTGCAAGTTGATCATTGGCTCTAGCAACTTGAACAGAGCCGTCCTCTTAGCTGATGCCAGGCTGTTTCTCTCTGTGTGAGATCCCGAAACCAGAAGAGAAGTGTATACCTTAGAGTACTTTCCGGAACACTTATAAATCGAAATTGTGGATATTTGAACTAACTATTTTGGAACTAATTGTTTGAAGTCAGTGTTGTGCACTAGATTTATGTTTGGTAGTAATTCCAAAATAAATCTGAGTACTCTTACATAGTATAGAAAATGCTGAAAATTTCTAGATGACCATGTGGATCAAATTTGTGTCTATTTCTGTTTGTCCTTTTATCAAACATTGGAGTAGAGATAACATGTGTATAACTACCACTGCTGCAAAGTTTGAGATTTAATTCAAGTCATGTAGGTTGTATATATTATTCATCAAACTAGCTTTCAATGGAACAAGAATTAACGATACTGTCAATAAAGATTATTAATACCTTGATTATTCGAATGTTTTATGATTAAACGAACCTTTTGTATGGTACTGAAATATTTGCAATCATCAAAACTGGAGTATTAAAGTGGATTCAGATGATTTTAGTAAAAACTTCGGCTTACCGCAAAAAAATTCCATTTCTTCATTTTCGTCTCGATGAGAGGTAATGAGAAGAGTTGACAGGTCTAAGTTTCAGGTTACCGATTGCGTTCTTGTGAAATTGGAAGAGTATCAACTATTCAATTGTAGATTTCTGAAAACCATCATTGATGTTTTATAGAATACCCATATAATTGTAATATACGTATTGATATTAAATATTTTAATTACTAGTAATTCATTCTATTTAATTTGATGTTAGAACATGCCATTAAAGATGTTATATATACCGAAAGAGATTTGAATGTGGGTGAAACAATATCCGTGCTTGGATATACTGATGATTGTAACTGTTAAGCCAAGACACACAAACAATGAAACTAAATACAACGCCAATGAAAGCCGGTGAAGAATTGGAGCTCAAAATATATACGGACAATACAAAACATGGTTAACAGCAAAAATGATAAGAATCTCGGTGTTATAGATATTGAATGAAATAAATTTGAATGGGTAGAGAAGTTGAGGTATTTAGGATCTATTTACGGAAGAGGAAGTCAAGACTGGGTTATAGACGGGAAATGGTTGCTATTTTCTTTTTACGAAACTACTTTGCCCATAACTTAAAAATTAAAGTTTACAAAATAACTATTCTTTATGGATGCGAGACGTGGCCACTTACATTAAGGGATGAGCAAAGTCATAAGGTTTTTGAAAATAAAGTATGGCGTAGAATACTCGGACTGGAAAATTTAGGAGGTTAACAACGCTGAACTGCGCGAACTGTACCTAATTAATATAATTAAGATGATTACTTTGAGACAAATAAATTGGGTATTTAAAATTGTTGGATTTAGTAACGAAAGAATTCCTAAAAAGTTAATATGAGTCGTGATAACTGGTAAGTGTCCGAGGGGTAGACCAAAGTGAAAGTGGGAAGGTTAAGGCTGATCTGGAGGAGTTTGAGTTTTGATGACGCTCGGTGGATGGCAGAATGTAGACATCGATTGGTGTCGAATCTTCGGGTTCGCCAAGCCTTATTATTATTATTATTTAATAATTTATTCACAAAAATAATGTTAAAAGAAGTTGATTGCCTGCCTTCCGGCTCTAGCAACTAGTGAGTTGAAACCTTCTGATCTCCATGTTTCTGCTCTGATGAAGCCTACAATGTGGGCCGAAACATTTTCATTAAATTAATAGTTGACAGTTATTTTATATTGTTTGTGATAGGCTATCGACCCTGTTATTTTTTTAATGATTTATTTAAAAGTTTATAAAATTTGAATTATGTTTTCGTCTATCATTGTTTGTTGAAAGGATAGAGATGTTTTTCAACGCGAAATGGTAGAAACTCCTCCGCTTTTTACAGTGATATAATTAATAGCTAAAACTACGTAGCCAAGATTCTATTTTTGTTTCCTCAATGACGACAGTGGGAAACTTTAACAAAACAGATTTGGTGTAGTAGCTCCACTGACTTTGACTGTTAGTAAATTATTAATTTGAAACAAAAAACCATGCTTCGATGAACGTATACCGACTTCAAAACTTTGAAGATTTTTTTTTTTACAATTACGATATATTTATCATAAATATTAAGTATAATAACTTCATAATATAATATAATAAAAATCTATTAGAAATCTGATAAGATCCTTACCCTGGTTTTGGTTGGATTTCAAGAATTACCAAACTTTAAAAAAATAACTCAAAGTAACTCTAGAACCAACTCGAAATTATTACAATTACAAAATTCGAAATGACTGTAAAATCCGGCTTTTAAATTTTGATTGAATTCACATCACGTACGATTTTGAATATGAACAGTACAAGGAAATATTATTAAAAAGTTTATTATTGAAATCTGGGAAAACTTTGTGAAAAGCTTCATTCATTCTACTGATTGTTTTTAACTGCAAAATAGCTTTGTGAATATTCCACGTTTTTTTGCTGAATTCAATTAAAATTGCCATCGGCCTCGGTGGAAAGTGGTTTAAATAATTTTAATATTATTTTATAAATTTAATATAAAATTAAATAATTTTAAAAGGCTTAAATGTATTAAAAATTATTTACTGAACGATTATTGACTTTATTAATTACTTTTTTTTTATCCTTGTTGCTTAACTGAATTATTAAATTTTAATATTTTTTTTGTTGTAAAAATAAAATATTGGAAGAAGTTCGGAGCATTTTTTTTTTTTTTTTGAAAATTATACAAACATGTCTTTTAATACTTTTTCTAATAGATTACTAAAAACAAGGTTCGTGAACTACAAATACATTGAACCTAAAAGTGACCGGTCTCTCTCTCATTTAGCCTAAAATAATTTCTAGAAAACCATTGCCTTCAAAACGATTTTATTATTACACTGACATTTTATGTCAGTTATTTTCTATGAAACCCACTATCTCAAATTTTAATGAAACATGGTGGTTTTATTCCTTAATGTAAGAAAGTACATTTTTTTCTCTATCTCAAATAATTTTAATTTTATTTGAATTTTAGTTACTCGCCTACGTGCTGTTAAATGTTTTTTTAGTAAACAAATAGATCATATCTTTCTTATTTACAATTTTACAGAGAAAAATGTAGATGGTAAAACTTTAGTAACTGGAAGAAATCTTTTCGAGAAAAAATTGAGTGTTAAGCGATCAGTGGAATATATCCAAAAAAGTTATTCATGAATTTTCGTTTCATAACATATTACCGGTTTATTACATTAGATTATTTATAATATACACATTCCTGTCAAGATAAAATGGCTATTTACAATGGTAATGAACAAATATGATATTAAAGAATATATATGATGTCAAGGAGTATGTTAATTTCATTCTTTAAAATAATTATTGTTTGGGAATATTTTTTTTAAAAAGGTCAAATTTGTTTCTGAAAAACTTTATCTTCAATCTTTTAAAATATTTGTATGATAACAAAATGATCTACATCAACCAACACGCTTAATAGGAGAAAATTTATATACCCATAAAATTATTACCTTGTTGTTTACACCTTGTTACAAAAAAAAAAAAAGAAAAAAAGAAAGCTCCTTTCCATGATTTTTTAAAACTTCATCTTAGGTATTGTAAGGATCGGTCCAATTTTTCATTGGATCATTATGACAAATATTACTGCTTGTAAAGAAAGTAAAAAACAAAATGGAATTAAAATAATATGATATTTAAAAATTTAAAATGGAAAAGAAGAGGAGATGAAAAGGCAGTAAATGAAAAAAAAAAATCATGCTCTAAGAAGTCAATTATTTAAAGTATTAAAGTCAATTATTTATTTATTTCTTGTTGTTTGTTGATTGAA